ACAGATCCCACCTGGGGCTTAAAGAGTTATCAGCAAATGTAGCAAGTTCCAGAGCCTCTTCTGAAGTACTTTCCCAGCATCATTTCCTCTTCTCAACCTCAGAGGAAGACCAAAAAGAACAGAACCAGGAGCCCATGCAGCAAAGTTTCAAGTGCCCAGAAATTACTTAGTTGTAATTTTAGTTTTGGAGCTGTCCTTGGTGCTAAAGAAGGCATTCCATCTTCTCACAGTCCAGAGCTTTTCCTCAAAAGCAGAGAGGTTTGGTCAAGGAAGCCAAATGACTCATATTCTATATTAGCAGATCAGGGAGCATCTTACTAATGCAGATTGAACCAGCAAGCTCATCTGTCTGGCTAGTGATGCCTATTTTTTTTCTTAAAGGTTTATGCATACATTGACTTTTTAATTCTAATTAATGCCAGATGCCTTACAGTGAATAATACACATCCATTTAGTTATTACCCCTATAACATGATGCTATGCAGAGTTTTTGAAGGTATCATCTCGTCTAATGTGATTTGTTTCTAGATTAAGGTAACTGGAGATAAAATGTCCATGTAGGAATTAATTTGTTCTAACTCCAAAGCAAGGATTCAAGGGTAGAATAGATGCTGTAACTTCTAGCACTGCTTTTCCCAAAATGATGCCCTTCTGTGATTTCCAGGATGCACAACAACAAAAGATAGGAATTGCCCTTCATCCTTAGAGTACTCTGATAGCTATTGAGCGACTTCATATCTGAATGTAAAAAATTCCTGTGGAAACTTGTTGCCATATTGTGATATAGACAATTGTTTCCATTTTCTTCTGCAGATCCCTGGGAAAATGGAAACCTCCCCCTTGTATATTGTATCTGAAGATATACTTCACCTTCCTTTAAACTCCCAAAGTAGACAGGTATGTTGTTACCTTCTGTCATTCTTCACCCCCTCCCACCAGATTTACATTATCCCTAATACCCTCTCCTCCAAGAACATGTCCCGATGTCCCAGATAGGATTAAACTAGTCATTCAGTGCCTGCTTCCTGGTGATCCTTGAGGTAAGGAACTCTTGGTAAGAGTTTTTCTACTTTACCACAATGTGTGGGCCTCATCTTCTGAACCGACATTGCTCAGGCAATGAGGCAATGAAGGTAAATAAGAAGCAACAGGTCAGCACTGGGGAAAGAAGGAGATAAGTCCAAGCACCCTGGTGGATGATGAATAGCTGGCCCAAAGGGCCCTCCAGCTTCTCTTCATCCAGCTTTTACTAGTCAACCATAGCTTTTCCAGGTTTCTAGATAGAGGTAAGAACAAGAGCAAGAGTAACAGAAGAGTAAGAGAAAGTGTGAATGGCCGAGCCCAGAAAACAAGTTACCTTGATTTTTCTCCATTGAAGGAAACACTGAAAGATCACCAACGTCCAGGATAAAGGGGAGCTGGGAATGAAATATCAGCCTGTGTGAAAGGGGGGGAAATGTTTAACTGGGAGATGGGGAGTTGAAGGAAGTTGTAAAGAACAGAATCCTGGAGAGATGGGTTGTGAAAGAGCCAGTCCTCTTGTAATCCTGTTGGAAATAGAAATAGACAAATGCTAGAGAAAAGAGGAAGATTGACTTAAGCGTTGCTCTTGAGAGACTAAAACCTACAAATAGTTTGCTTCTCGAATGTGATAAAGGTAAATTTGGGGATGCCTTTTAAGGCAAAGCCATTTCTATTGTTTCACTCCATCTTTGGGTGATCATTCCGTTGAGGGGGAGGGGAGAGAGAGAGAGAGAGAGAGAGTGGAAGGAGGGGGAGGGGAGAGGAGAAAAAGAAAGAACCACTTGAAGGATTTTTTTTTCCTTGCTTGCTTGAGTGCATTTAAATGAGCGTGCATCTGTAGCTTTTTAAACATCGAATCAAGCCCTTTCTTCAAGGAAAGCCTCTTTTAATTAGCTTTAGAAGCCAGCGAAGGCGTCTAATGAAGTGGGTTTATTTAGCTTGTTCATAATTTAAGTGAGGAGCAATCCAAATTGTTTATCACCCAAGTGAAGAGTTCACGTTGCACCGCAGGCATGGCAAAACTAAAGGGAGGAAGGAAACAGTGTTGGTTTTTCCAGGAAAACGCCTGCACCATCGGAACCACCTCATTCTTTTAAGGTGGGGTCACAAACACTTAGGAAAACCATTTGATACGATCTGCTGTTCCTTTCACTTCTTCTCTTGCCCCACTCGGGGAGAAGATAATTCTGCTGGGGGGAAAGCCCACTTGGGCTGCAATTCTGTTTGACCCCCTGAAGTAAATGACTCGCTTCAGAGCATAGATACATAGCACTGGCTCTAATTATTATAAAAGGACTCTTCCTCTATCCGCATTTATTCACTTAAGAAAATAAATAATAAAGGATTTTAATTCGTGGATGTTAAAGGAAAAAAATTGCCGGAGGAAATATTTTAAGCCTATTTCAGAACATACTTTAAACATATTTCAAAACGTATTCAACCTCTGTATGGTGTCTCCATAATCAGTACAATTGCCGTTGTTGTTTTTGTTGTGAAAGTATTTTAAGCTCTTTTTTCCTTCTTTCTGGTTGTGGAAATGAATCATAACTAAGATACAGATTCAACACCAGCCTTTAATTTTCCGCTAATTCAATTTAGTTCAAAATTTACCTTGCTTGAACTTAAAACTCCCTGTGTGTACACATCCACATGCACCCCACAAAACTGTCCAATAAGTTGCATTCAGAGCATTTAGACTAGAGCATCTTCCTTTTTTCCCCCTTTTGAATTTCCATGTAGGTTACTTACAAAGGAAACAGTTTTTGTTGTGTTTTAAGTCACTGTGTGCACTGCCCTTAAGGGGGGGGGGGAACCTGAATACTTTAAATCCCAATCATTCCAAGGGAAGCAATACCTAAAATCTTTCCTTAATGAAATCATTGGGGCTCTAAAGCCACCCTTCTTGTGCTCAGTTGCCTGGGAGCAAACTAGACAACCGTATAATAGCGTTGTGATTTCAAACGCGAGCTGGATTAGGTGCTAGTCAGTTTCCCGATCTTGTCAATTTCCTCGACCACTGGTGGTGCATCTTAGCGGAAGCTTCCAATCTCGGGAGAATCCTACAGACCAAAGCCAACGGCAACTTGATCTTCGAGAAGGGGTTTTGCCGGGGGGGGGGGGGGGGGTTGGGTTGGGGGGAGGGGGGGACGGAGCCGGCGTTATTATTTATTCCTGAAGTCCCAATTAACACAGAAAAGAGGAGAACAGCGAGGGGAGAGGATGGATCGCAGGGAGGCAGGCTACCTCTGGGTACAATGTCAGGGCGCCCACCGCTCTGTCGCTGAGTCATTGTCAGGGTCCGCGGTGAGAAGAGCTGAAAATGAGGTGGGCGTTTCCGGACCCTTTTGTGAAAACGCGGCCAAGGTCAAGATGATTTTTAACGCGAATTTATTAGCGGACTTGGGCGGGGGGCGAGGGAGAGAAGGAGAGAGAGGGAGAAAAAAAAGAGCCAGAGCCTGCGAAGCAGCCGCAAACCCCTTCCTTAATTAGCAAAGCCTAAATAATATGTACCCGCAGGCTGTCCCTTGCTTTTTTTTTTTTTCCCCCCTCTTCCCCCCCCCCCCCCCCCCCCCCCCCCCATCATCTCGCCTTCGTCTCCTTCTTCCTCCTTTAGAGAACAAAAACCCACTCTAGCAACAACAACAAAAAAAAAAAAAGGAAAAGGAAAAAAGGGGGGGCATCCACAAACCTCAGAGGAGGTGATAATACCGGACTGGGGTTATGAATGTTTTATAGGTAATTGCGGTGTATCTTTCGAACGTTGAAGGCGTAGTGAATAGGAAGGCTGTTTTCAGGCGCTTTGCTTCGGTTTTGGAGGGCTGTTGGTTATCAGGGTTTAGCAGCCCAAGCCTGGGCCTGGCCCGGGAGAAGCAGAACTGCCCCGTCTCATCTTTCACCCGTTCTCACCCCAACCCACCCCAAAGAACCCTGGTGGCGCAGCAGACTAAAGCACTGTTATTAACATCAGCTGCCTGCAATTACTGCAAGTTCAAATCTCACCAGGCTCAAGGTTGACTCAGCCTTCCATCCTTTCTAAGGTAGGTAAAATGAGGACCCGGATTGTGGGGGCAATAAGCTGACTTTGTATAAAATATACAAAAGTATGAAGGCTGTTGCTTAACGCATTGTAAGCCGCCCCGAGTCTCCGGAGAAGGGCGGCATATAAATCAAAATTAAAATCAAACAAAAAAAATTAAAATAAAAAATAAACAACCCCACCAGTCCTAGCTCCACCCTCGCTTTTGCATTGATTTCTGGCTTTTCTCTCTCTCTCTCTCTCTCTTTCTTTTTTCTTTTTTTCCTTTGCACCTAGAGCCAGACGCTACGAAGAGCCTCCCCCCCCACCCTCCACAATCCCAGCAAAGGATTAAAAAAACGGCCTCCACCTCCTTAAGAAAGAGCGGACTTTAAAAACAGCTCGACCCGAGCTCACCGACGCCAAGCCAAACCGTGTCCTCGAGCGGGGAGGGGACGGTTCCCCTGGGTGGGAGTCAAAAAGAGATCAAAGCAGCCCCCCCCCAGCTGCACATGGACGCACGCACAGACACACAGAGAGACACACACACACGGCCCCGCGGCTGTGGGTCGCGGCGGATTTTCTTCTCTCCCGCGGCTCCGGGTTTTTCTTCCTAATTGCCACCCCCGAGCGTCTCTCGCTCCCAGGCTGTCCTCAGCGCTTTCTATCAGCGCCTCGGAACAGCTGCCAGGCTGGGTTGCACCTTTTGGCTTCCCAGACATCCGTCCGCCTTTAAGATCCCTCCTCTGCCTCTTCCATATTCAGCAAGGAGGACGGAGGGGGGAAAAAAAACCTAGCCGCGACGGCAAGAAACCAACACGGAGAAGAGGGCCAAGGAGAGGGGGACATTCATGACCAATGCACCCACCCCCATCCCGCTTTCACTGCCGAGGTCTGAAAAACAACCTCCAAGTCCATCGCAGCGCGTTCGCTTCTTTTCTGCCTTTTTTTTTAAAAAAAAAAACTTCTTTACAATCCATTCTTTATCCCTCCAAACAAACTCTTTAGCAACCAAGCAGACTGGGGGAGGGAGCGGGGAAAAGGGGGGGATTAAAAGTCTCCTAACCCGTCGCATAGAAAGGAGCAGACATGCGCACGCATCCAGACACACTCGGCCCATTTTACGGAATGAACAATAACAGCGCGTGAATCAAGGGGAAAATAGCTCGTTTGGGTCTGCAGGTTTGTTTAAAAAAAGATAAAAGTTTATTTCTTTTTTTTTTCCCGTCGGTTTTTTTTTTTTTTTTTTTGCCATTTTCAGTCATCAAAATCTCATTCGCTCGCTCGCTCGCTCTCGATATATATTTTGTTAACTCTTGTTGTCATCTAAGCATTTATTTTACTGAACCAAAACAAAACAAAAAAGCAAAAGCAAAAAAAAAAAAATTAAAATAAAAGGAAAAGGAGAGGCCTCGGGGGAAAGAATATTTTTGTGGAGTTCGTTTGTTTCTTAGATTTTTTTTTTTTCCTCTTAAAAACGAATGAATATAAGTCTTTTTCTTTTCTTTCTTTTTGGACAACATATAATAAATAATATATATCACTTCTCACACACCAGCCTGTTCAAAATGTGTATGTAGCATATATACCAATGACCAGAGAGATCCGGGAAATGCCAGTTCGGAGTCAGAAAAAGGTTCGTGAGAATTCGGTGCCAACTTCTCCGCTCTCCCTCAGTCTTCCTGCGTTCTGGGCAGCGGTGGGGGAGAGGAGGAGGCGTCCTTTCTCTCTTTATGTCCCTCAAGAGTCCTGCCTGGCACTCCGGCTTTTCCCGGCCACCACCCCCAGCCTCCTGAACCCCTTTCCGCCTCCTCCGGGCAAAGCGGCGGGGGCTGCTTGGCGGGACTCGGTGCTACGTGTCACTTACGGGATCCAGAGTCTCCGCGCTCTGAGCCGGTCGCTCCTCCGGCTCGGTTTAGATTAGAAGGACCGCTGGATTTCCCGCCCCCTCGCTCGCCTCGGCTCCTTTCTTGCTGGATTGGCTGCTCCGGGGGGAGTGAGGGGGAAATCTGTCGGCGGGGTTGAGGAGGGGGGGGAGCCGGGGTGAGGGAGACGCCCAGTGATTTTCTTCACCGCGGGTGAGGGGTCCCTGGAAGGGGGTTGGACAAGGGGTTGAGGGCCGGCTGCCCCCCCGGCCCGAGGCCGTGGATCAAAACCCGGGGCACCAGAGGCCGCTGGAGTTGAGGGTGAGGCGCAGGCGGAGTCCGGTACATGCTACTGTACATGGCCGCGGCCGCCGCGGCCGCCGTGGTGCTGTCCATGCTCCCCAGGAGGCTCGGGTGGTAGAAATAAGGCGACGGGAACATCCGCTGTAGAGCCGAGTAGTTCCCAGCTTCGGCCAGCAACTCCAGCCCCACCGCCGTCTGCCGCTTCCACTTGGTTCTGCAAGAGACGGAACGGAGACACCGTCGGCTGGGCCCGAAAGGAGGGGGAGGTTAGGGGGAGGGAGCGAGAATCGGGCTGACCACCCCTCCCTCCCTCCCGACACAAGTCCTCCACGCGGGAACAGACTCGGGCAGAAGAGAGTTTGGCTTGCCTGGATCTCTTTGCGTTCAAGGCCTTTCCTTTAAGGAAGCGCAAGCTGCAGTCAAATCACTGCACTGCTGTTAGGTCTTAAAGCAGAATTACTACTATGGCTGGGGGGGTCTCCCAAAACGGCGGGCGCAAGAGGGACACGCGAGGAATCAGAAGGAACTGCCATTGGAAAAACCCTGGGAAACGTTTGCTAGCCAAAGACACACACACACAAACACAAAGGGAGAGCCAAACTCTTAAGTCTTGCCGGCCTGTAAGCGACAAGGACAGCCGATAAACTACCATGATTCGTTCTCCTTTCAAACATGTAAATTACATCGTTGTCTATGGCCTCCTCAAACCTCTTTTTCATATTCATGTTACTCTCTAATATTAATAAAAGAAGAAGAAAATATTTTCTCTCTCCCCCCTTGTAACAGTTTTGTGCTAAAAGATGACTTTAATACATACAATCCAGCCGGCTATTTAAAAGTCAATTGCTTGGATGGGGGACAATGAAGGAAGCAAAGTCATTCCTCTCTGGAAAACTCCAGAGCATATTCCCAATTTTTACTGACTCTTCCGATCAGGCCAGCCTCCACTATCCAAACAAGCAAACCCTTAAGCAAACCTTTGGGGGTGTGGGGGGTGGGGGAGCCAGCCTTGCGAGAGTTTCATTATACTCTCCTTCCTGGAGATGGCCTGCGGGCCTGCTAGAAAAAAAAGTGAAATCGCTGGAAGATTTTGGACGCTGGAAACTACAACCCTGAACATTTTAGAATTGTAGAATCTTGTTGCTTTGAGGTATGGGGCGAACTGGGGGTGGGTGGGAAACGGAAGATGACTAATTTTCCTTCTGTAGGGAAGACACAGGCCTCCAGATGCAAGAAGCAGCAGCTAAACGCCGCTTCCGGACAAGTCCGTTTCCTTCCTTCCTAAAGCAGAACCTGCAGGTTAGTCTCCTTTTGGGGGGGAAAGAAAAAAAGCTTCGCTCGCTGGCTGTGAGCATTGGTGGGGGCTGTTTTTTTTTTTTCAGCAGGCGGACGACACACCGAGGTAAATCACGGCCGTTACGAAACGCAGCCAAATTAACAAGCGTGGAGCTCCCTGTTTAGCTGGGCTGTAAATGACGCTAATGGTTTCCGACAGAATTAGGGTGGCTGCAACCGTATGAAATGAGACAGAAAATTATAGCAAATATGACAACTGGACAGAGGTTTCCAGCCCGCGTTTCTTCTGCCCAAGAATTAGAAAAACCCACATTTTGCTCTTATGGGGCCTGCCTCGCTCTCCTGCGTCGTTTCGGCCTCTTCTCTTTAAAAAAATAAGAAAAATAACCCCCGACATTGGCCACTAGATTTCCTTCGCCAGTCTTCGTTTTCCAATCTCAGAGATCAGGGATTCAAATGCACTGGAGAAATGAGAGAAGGAAACCCGGCACTGAATGACAAATCTGAGCATCCGAAAACGCCAAACCAGACCGAGTAAGGTGGAGGCCTCCGGAAGGGAATCCCACCGAGCCCAAAACTTATTTAGCTTTTCCCAGAGGCGCTGCCCCGGTTTAAAGCGTTAAAACTCTTCGGCCTTTGCTTTGCTAGCAGGGACGGAGAGAGAAATTCGGCGTGTAAGCTGTTCGCCTCTATTTTTTTTTCTCCTGTGGCTATTCAGACTTCCTCCACCTATCCGCGACAGGAACATGGAAAGAGTACAACCTACACGTACAACCGCCTTAACTTGGAATGTTAACTCGTGTCCTGAACTCGCACCATTCAATGAATGATAGCTAACTAAGAGTTTCGGCTGAGGTTTGCGTGTCAGCCTAGCTACGAAAGTAAACAAACAAACAAACAAAAACAAACAAACGGCTGTTAACCAAGCCTGCTCTGAGAATGCACCTGCTAGGGTTTTTCCCTGGGCAGAGCCACTGAAATCTTGGCCCGCGGGAAATGGTGAACGTGGGAGTGTGTGTGTGGAGGGGGGGGAAGGGACGGAGATGCAAAGTGAGACGGCCTAACACGGCCCTCCCTAGAAAGGCCACGAGTGGATAACTAAGGAGACAGCTTTCCTTTGCCTTTCCAAAGGAAATTGTAGAGCTGCCCCCCAGAAATAAGTCCCTCGGAACTCTGCTTGGAGATCTGGCTCCTATCCATTTTTTTTTAAAACCCGGGAGTAGGCCCCTTTGAACTCCACGGGATTCCCTTTTGCGTGGGTGAGGCAGAGGACGGCAAGGTTAAAACCACGACCAAGCGTTGCACCCGCACCGACCCGGGAGGCAATTCCACAGCATGTAATGAGACTTATTTCTGGGTCAAAGTGGGCCAGACCCGACTGTTTTCAAAGCAGCCCATTCCCGCAGGATTTTCTTTCGAGTCAAGTGTTGCCATTTCCCTATATCTGCCCGCCCCAGCCCCAGCTTTCGTCCCTACCGGCCTCCTGCCCTACCTCCGGTTTTGATACCAGGTTTTGACCTGGGTGTCGGTCAGATTGAGGGCAGCTGCCAAGTCCATGCGATCTTGGACGCTCAGGTATTTCTGCCTCTCGAAGCTCCTCTCCAGCTGGTTGAGCTGATGGTCGGAGAAGGCAGTCCGCGCCTTGCGAGGCTTCTTCGCCCTCACCGGGGGACTGTCCCTGCTGCTGGAAATCTCGCGATCCCCTTCTTCTTTTGCCCCTGAGGAGACACAAGACAAAACCTCGGGGTTAAGGCCGAGGAGAAAAGCGGCAGGGTGGGGGGGTCGGGGGTGAGGACTAAACCCGCACACAAAACCTTATTAAGCCTGAACAGGAGGTTCCCCTGGTGGGGGATCTTCTAGATCCAAACGGACCGTTCGAAAAGACGGCTTAGGAATCAACCGATTTGTTCGCCTACTTTTGTACAAGGCGGCATAGACCGCAACCACAGCAATGAATTAGGAAGCTGGGAATTCAGCTGCGATTCAGCCTCGAACGAAACAGCAGAGGGAATATTTCGGATTAAAAAGTAGCATCATTTCTCTGGAGTGATAACTTCTCCTGTCACACAGCTTCCTAATAATATCCTCTCTTTTTTGTTTTTCCCCCGGAGGGGATGCTTTTTTTTTTTTTTTCCCTCCGCCGCCTTTCCTCACTTTCTCCCTCGGCCAAATTCAGATTTCCAAGTGCACATCGGAAACGGTTACGATCAAGCCATCGCAACAGCCCGAATACTTTTCCTGGAGTGCTTGTCATCCAGGTACAAAAAGAGAGCCGGATTTCGCAATCCCAGGTGACAGCAGAAATATTACCGGATTTGGTCTGGAATCTTTGAGTCTTATTTGAGGGAGTTTTTTTTTTTTTTAAGCTGAAATGTTAGGAAATCGATATGCCAGTCCATCTGTGTTTGTTCGAGGTTTTCTCATCCTCTCCCCCTCTTTTTCCCCCCTTCTCTCTCTCCCCCTCGCTTTCTTTTTCTGGGCTCTCGTTGATCTTCCCTGCAGGGAGAACAATAATCTCTCTAATTGACCCACTGGGGAGGTTGGTGCACCAACTAACCAACAACAACAAACCACTAAAAAAAAAAAAAACCCAAACCCTAGACGAAACTCTGCATCTGGTTCTAGACGCTCATATGTTAGTGCTAAAATGGCAAATTGAATAGCAGTCCTATTAGTTACTGCAAAATAGCTGAAGGTTGTAAAATGAGCGAAATGCGTCCTCCCTCATCACAACGTTTCAAAAAAAAAAAAAGCCTTCCCAGTTAAGTGAGATTCCCTTGGTAGTGGGAGGGGGGGCGTCTTTTATTTTCCCCCAGGAAGTGGCAGAATCGAGCACACCATGTAGGTTTGAATTTTAGAAGGTAACTACTGCACACACTCTAAAGTATCGCACAAAAACCAACGCTGTAAAATATTGCACAATGCTAACTCTAAAGGAAGAAACATTTCAAGGAAGGAAGGAAGGAAGAAATCAGAAAAAAAGAAAGAAAATGAGCCCGATTGGATTCACCCGTTTGGTTTGTTTCCCTGCTTTAAAAAAAAAACACATTTTATTAAAAATTCTTTAAGAGGTCTGCCTTGCTAATTAAGTGTTGCTAAATCTGTGTGAACTATGTTTAGAAATTATGCATGCAGATCGCATTTTATAATATGCATTTGCATTTTAAAATCTCTAGTAATCCCAGCTGGCATTTTTGGTATTGTTGAAGTGCACACTTGCAGACTCTTTTTGTTCTCCTATCAACTTTTTTTAAAGGGGGTGGGGGGTGATACGTAGTTTTAGTTTGTGTGTGTGTGTGTGTGTATACACATACATACATACATACATATATATACATATACAACTATATTTATATGAATTCATTTATATGGATTGTCTTATAAAAATTAGAGGGGAAACATTTACGATTCCTGAATTTTTGTAAATAACCTGGTTGTACTTATTGTTTTCTTATGGGACTTAATTTTAATTTTAAATACTATCCAGGTTGCTGGAGCCTCTCCTTAACGGCTTAGCGAATTCGCAGCCAACCTTCCAAGTTGGCTCGAAGTTTTCAGAGCTTTCAGAACAAGCGATTGCTGAAAGCGGGGGGCGGGAGGAGGAGAAGGGGATATTAGAAAGCACAGAGGAACCACCGGGAAGGTCCGAAACGTAAACAATGGAACCCTCGCAACCGTTTCGAAAACCGGAACGCTCGTCAGCGTTTCGAAGCCCCGCCGTCCCCCACTCACCGTGGCATTTCAGCTCATTCTGGGTATCGTCGCGTTTGTCCAGTTTGGTTCTGTTGTCGTCCTGCTCCAGTTTTGGCCTGAAACTTTCGTTGACCGAGTTGCTCTCTTGTTTGGGGGTGGGATGGGGAGAGGAGACGCTGGTGCTGTAAGGGGCGCACGCGGCCAGCGGTTTGCTATCTCCCAAAATGTCTTTAATTAAAAAAGACGACGTGGAAGTCCTGGGGGCCGAGCTACAGGAACCCAATTGCTGCTGTTGCTGCTGCTGTTGTTGTTGCTGGGGCGACGGCTGCAAACTTTTTGGCTGTTGCTGCTCTGGATGTTGGCCGTGGTGAAGATGGTGATGCTGAGGCGACAGGCCATCTTGCGCCAAATGCTGCTCGGGGTGCTCTGCGGTGACCGAGATAGGCGAGGAGGGAGTCGTGCCCACCGTGTCTATTTCCGAACAAGGGGACGGAGTGGCCTGGTTGAGAAAATCCGCCGCCCTGGCCTCGCCGTGGGCCGTCCGAAAGTCCCCGTTCATCATAACCGGGCTGCCGGACCTGGGATTAGACAAAATCGTGTCTATTCCAAAACTGGAAGTGCTAGATCCTTCCATGGTGGCCGTTCAAAGAAGCGCCTTCATCCCCTTTTCCTTCCCGACGTCGTTCTCTTGCGCGGACTGGGGTTTGTTTTTTTTTGGGGGGGGGGGGGGGGGGGGGGAGGGGGGGGGAAGGAAGGTGCTGGCTGGCTCTAAGGCGATCGATCGACGATTAAAACGCGAACCACCAACCAAATCGGATCAATTATGGACGAAGCGAATCTCTTCGATCAAAATTTAAATGGGGAGGGAGGGAGGGAAGGAAAGAAGGAAGGAGGGAGGGAGGGAAGGAGGGAGGGAGGGAGAGAGAACGAGGCGAACGACGACGAGACGCGCACAGGCACCAAGCGCACGCACGGGGGAAGGGGGGAAAAAAGAGAGAGAGAGAGCCAGCAGGAGAAAGCCGCCGAAGCAGGAGGAGGAGGAGGAGGAGGAGGGCAGCCGGGAACCGATTCGGGAGGAAGACGCCAGATCCGCCGCGCCACCCAGTTGGCTCGCTCGCTCTCTTTCCTCCGGCCACACGTGCTCCGCTTATTGTTCAGGACGCCCGCGCCGCTCGGGCAGAAGAGCCGGCATCGCCTGGATGAGCCGCCGGCCGGGGAAGCGGCGGGAAGAGGCTGCTGGGGCTCTCCGGCGGAGGCTTCGCTCGCCCAGCCAAGGAGGCACCGCTGCTGAACGCCGATCGCCTGGCTCCGGGCCGCTCTCCCTGCTCTCGCCCCGCCGCCCAGGAGTTCTTGAACTTTCTTGGAAAGTTGAGGCGTGGCGGAGCAACGCGAGGAGGAGGAAGAGGAGGATGGATGGATGGAGGAGGTGAAGAAGGCTCGGCCGCTGCCCGGTTCTCGCTAGGGCGAGCGGCTCCTCTCGGGTTCCTGCGATTCCGCCCGTGACGTCACGGCTCTTCGCCGCTCGCCTGCTCGCCGCTCTTTATCAAACCTCTTTAAGGCTCGGGATTTTCCCCCCATTTTAAAAATATTCCTTATTTATTTATTTGTTTGTTTTATTTAAGGCCGCCGTCGAGTAACGGCCTCTTATTGGTGGACGCGGCGGCCGAACTTGACGCTCGGCGGTTGGCAGCCAATGAGAAGAAGGAAGGAAGAGGAGAGAAGGCGCGGGGAGGGGAAGGGAAGGGAAGGGAAGAGGGAGAACGGGGGGCGGAGGGGGGGCTTGTCAGGTTCGGGACTGGGACTGTTCTTTTTTAGAACCTTTAGGATTCCTCCCTCTCTTCCCTTCCCCATTGTTCTATCCGAATATAAACGGGTGGTTATTATTATTATTATTATTATTATTATTATTATTATTATTATTATTATCTCTGGCATGTCAATAGTCATCAGTTTGGTAGCAGAAATCATGGTAGGGGGAGAAGAAAGAAAGAAAGAAAGAAAGAAAGAAAGAAAGAAAGAAAGAAAGAAAGAAAGAGGAAGGAAGGAAGGAAGGAGGAAGGAAAGAAGAAGGAAGGAAGGAAGGAAGGAAAGAAAGAAAGAAAGAGGAAGGAAGGAGGAAGGAAAGAAGAAGGAAGGAAGGAAGGAGGAAGGAAAGAAGAAGGAAAGAAAGAAAGAAAGAAAGAAAGAAAGAAAGAAAGAAAGAAAGAAAAAGAGGAAGGAAGGAGGAAGGAAAGAAGAAGGAAGGAAGGAAGGAGGAAGGAAAGAAGAAGGAAAGAAAGAAAGAAAGAAAGAAAGAAAGAAAGAAAGAAAGAAAAGAAAGAAAGAAAGAAAGAAAAAGAAAGAAAGAAAGAAAGAAAGAAAGAAAGAAAGAAAGAAAATATTTGCGGGTAAGAAAGAAAGTATGCGAGATTTCCAGTTGTGAAGTCTTGTGTATACGAGATCGCTACAAAAGTAATATACTGCAACCGATCTCTTTCCTCATAAGTTGAAATGCAGGGTTATTTTAGGGCTTCCTCCCATTATGTCCTTCGGAAGACCAGAAACGTCTGTCCCCGCAGTTCTAGGCAAGAGAAGCGACCCAACTTCATCGAAGAACGAGGGAAATAAGAGCGGGGTCGGGCAAAACGTCCCTTGGAGCCAATTGGGGGAAAACGCCTTGGCTTCCTTTCCTAAGGGACGGGGGAGTGGGAAGGGAAAGGAAGGGGCTCCTGTGGGGGTGAAGGGAAATCTCTGTCTAGAACCGGCCCTATTTATTTGGAGAAGACTTTAAGAGAGGTGGGAGACGGCAGTGGCCAAGCTGGGGGGCTTCTTCTTCCTGCATGCGACTTTAGTCTGCGGCTTAGCTGCAACCACCGGCTCTGAGTCTTCATCCAGAGAGTGGTTTCAACCGTCCATCCATCCACCTCCAACACACGCACACACCTCCTTCTCCTCCCGTTCTTGGCCTGCCTTTGCCCGGCTGCTATTCCCAGCGCCTCTTTATTTGCCACCGACCCAGTTAGGGCCGACACGGCGCGCACTTCGGGAGAAAACACGGATGGATCTCAGCTTGCGTTCCTCTGTCTCTAAGAAGCCGCGGCGGTTCGAACCTGTCCCTTGTTGAATGTCAGGGTAATGGGAAGTGCCAGTGACAAGACGCCGTATTGCTCCTCCTGATTAAGTACCGTCAACCTAATTAGCAGAGCAATTATAAGGTGCTAATGAATGATTCAAAGTTCGGCGAGTTGTCTTTTACTCCGAATTACGCCTTTAAAAAGAGAGAGAGAACCGAGGAATCGAAGGGAAAAGCGAATGTTCCTGCAAGGAAAGCGCTCGTATCCCTTACTAGGTTCTCATCGCCTGCCTTTCTTTTCCTCCAGTCTCTGGTTCTTTTCTTTCCTCCCCCCGCAACGTTTAAAAACCTTTCGGTTCCAGAAAGAACCGGACGAAATCTATTCGTCTAAAATTAGATACGTAGTGCGAATTGAACATTTAATAGATAGGAGTTGTGTGAGGGGAGGAAAATGTATATTTTCATTTTTAAAAAAATAATAATAAATGAGATAATATAATTTCAAGGAGTTGGACAGAAGTAGAGTTTGGCACCTGCCTCTTTTGCAAGTGAAAAGAATGAGTTCGGAAGTTTCTCAAGGCCGGTAGGTAGGTAGGTCAAGATTTGGGAGAAGTGGGGAGGAGGAACCGATGAAGTTTCAAGGGACCCCGGTCGGTTTAAAATATTCTTCTGACATTCCTTGGGTTGGCGGTGGTATGTCTGTGCGTTGGAAGAAGGGAAGACCAGAAGAAAAGGAAAAGACAAGTCAGCCTAGGAAAGAAGCAAAATAATACCTGAATTATTCGAAACGGATCTGGGGAGGTTTTCTCATCAGCCGGCTGTCAAGGCAAAGCCGACTTCGGACGACTTCTAGCTGCTCGTTGAGCCCCATTGCGCCGTATGTCGGCGCCTCCATATAGCTTGCGCCCCGGTGTTCTCCCCCAATGACCCTCTCCTATCACGGGCCAAGCTGAGAGAGGCTTGGCATTATAGTGTGTGAATTGCTGGCTGCGGCGGGCAGCCGCCGGGAAGTTCGGCATTGTTGCCCCTTTGGTGGTATTTTGCCAAGGACAAGCAAGTGGTAAAATTCAGAACTTTACCCTTTTAAAATGAATAAAAAAAGAGAAAGGGCGGAAGTTATTGGGAAAGGGAGAGATGCAAAGAATTGCAATTTGGCTAGAACAGCGTGAGTCTTTTTACCCTTTCCTCCTTTCAACCCTGAAAGATCTATGCCAACACACTTGCTATTGTGGATCGATTTCCCTCCGAAAATATTTTTCCAAGTAAGGGATAGATAACGATGTTCTGTATTTCCAACGTAGGCTATACGGTATTTTCCTTTCCCCGTTGGTCCAAATTGAAATGTATTTAAACCCGTTCAGTACTATCCCTTCAGAACTAAATTCTTTGAAGTATTCATTGCCTGGGTATAAACATTTTCTTTTTGGAAAATAAAGAAAGAAACAGGCAAGAAGGGAATGTAACTCAATTGAGAAAAGCAGAGATCGGTCTGCCATCTATTTCTCTCTCTGCGTTTGTTTTAAAAGTCTGCTCTAAAAAATTCACAGGCGATTTGCCTTTCAGACTCTGAAGATATTAGAAATGTTGACATATAAAATACCTCCTTCAGGATGGGAGCGTCCGCAAAACGAATAGAGAGGGAATTGGAGAAATAAGCATCTTTAAAAGCTGCCCACTTTATCCCTGCTGAAATATTTATGGAGATGGACGTTTTATTGGGGAGGACTTTTAAAATGCTTCAAAGGGAAAGTTTGCAACTGAAAAGTTCAAAACAGGATCCTTCAGAAGGCAGCACTTCCTCCAGAAGAGATGCCAACATTTGGGATCTCTGGTCTTCTGAGGAGCAATGGGTTTGCTTGTAGTCAAGCCAAATTTACCATCCCTTGATGGCAACGCGGGACAGATTTGAAACAGAGGTTTTGTTTCGTATTTCTCTCTGAACACAACGCGGGCGGTATAATTCAGAGCTCAGGGAGTGGATATGGCTTATTTAGGAGAAGACGTCGACATTGTTTCAACCGGATATGGGGTTTGGTGGACATTTTGGGAACTGCTATCCAAAATCTTTATTTATCACAAAACCTTACATGGCATTTGTGTGCTTTTCACATTCATTTACCTCCCGATAGGAGAAAGTAGGGGGTGGGGAGAGTGAAAAAATATTAAGATTGAATAAACTAGTGATTTAGGTACATTTGTGGATGCAGACGGCTATAGAGCTCATCATTTTGTTTGTGCCTGGGGTTATTGTGAATATAATCTTGTGGGTTCACTGTGTGGTTTGTTCGCTTATTTGTTTCTTTGTTTCCCCTTTTTAGGATAATTACTGGACACCACAGGCAGCCAAGGAAGTTTTGCTATTTATATCCAAATCTGAACCTCCATCTCCAGTGCTTGTAGTTAAAGGAGAACCCCCACTGTTCACTCTTCCCTCCCAAATTTGGATTAACCTAGTTCTCTAGTTTATTTACTGTAGAGAAAAATATGATCAATGGTCTAATTTCATTCCTGGTCATTTGTGCCAACTACACAATCCCAGGTATGCTGATTCAGAACTAACATCCATTAAATTCTCTCTCAGGCAACTGTGCACAAGATTGCAACTTAAACATGCTCAGGAAGAGAGAATTCTGTTGGAACAAATAAAGTTGCTTCCTCTATTTAAACGCACGTTGTGATAATTCTACACTCCCCTCCCCCCCCTTTTTTTTGCAATATACACTCGCTAACAGGAAATGCTTTCCTTGACCTTTTACTTTCAAATTTGCACAATGCATACCATTCCATCGTGAAACTTACTATGCTCCTTATGTCAAACCGAGTCCTATATCCCAAGAAAAAGAGAGACCACTCTTTATCCAACTCTATCAATCCTCTTAACAGACATTATTTTTTCTAAAGTAATGATTTCAAAAAATTATTTAAATCTTACAATAACAAGAAAAAAGTGTTGGAAAGGAAAGCGATTTTAATGAGAGCTCCGGGCACGTACGGTAATAATATGTGGCTGCTTCGTCT